TTTGCTCAACATCAGATTTTGTTTTAATGAGATATATCCAGGTATAACGACTGTAATCATCGACAAAGCTCACATAATATTTAAAACCACCACTAGACACTTGAGCAGGTCCCCAAACATCCGTGTGAACCAACTCAAGTGGAAAAGAAGTAACACGAATAGAATTATTGTACGGGAGTTGATTACTCTTCCCTTTTTGACAAGCATCACAAACAGAAAAATTACTATCAAAAGAACATCCTAAATTAGTAGACCTCAAAATAGACTTGACTACTGCTGAAGACGGATGACCACGTCGTCGATGCCACTGAGAGGATGAGACAAGAACACTAGATGAAGCAAGGTGAGGTGTTGAAGATTGCTTGAATGGCACCGGATAGAGACCACCCTTGCTTTTACCGACTAGGAGGATTTTCTTTGTGAGTTTGTCCTTAACAAAGAAAGCATTGGTGTGAAATTCAATAAAAACATTGTTATCATAAGCAAACCTGTAAGCAGAAAGAAGATGTTTGTTTATATTTGGGACACGTAAAACATTTTTTGAGAACAAGAGGTTTTCCTAAACCGGATATTTTAGAATGACCAATATGAGAAATGTTCAAACCTGTTCCATTTGCAACTTGTACCTGATCCTTGCCATTGTAACGTTCTTGGACAGAAAGCCGATCTAGATCACTTGTGAGATGATCTGTAGCCCCAGTGTCAATGTACCAATTTTGATCTCCATTGTAAGGACTTATAGTGACACTATTACCCCCACGATAGTCATCAGCTTGATAAGCATGATTAAACTTGTTTCGACAATTTAGTGCACTGTGACCAGGTATGAAACAGACTTGACATCTTGGGCCACCATTACTCCTGCCTCGGCCCCACGATAATTAGACAACTGGTTATTGTTGGGGTTATTTGAGTTTTATCGTGGTTGATTGAACCTTGGTGAGTCACGCTATTTGCTGAAGAGGTGAACTCAGTCATGTTGTCGGTGGCAGTGGCCTGTGCTTTATGAGCTATTAGATAGGAGTAAAACTCAGGTAAGGTTACCTTATGCTGATCACTGAGAACTGTGATGGCAGTGAAAAGATCATCGTGACCTGGTCCTAGTCCGGCTAGTATATAGCCAATAACCTCCTCATCAGTCATGGGATGGCCAATGTTCGCCATCGTGTCAGAAAGTGTTGTCATTTTTTGATAATATTCAGCTGCACTCAGGTCTCATTTCCTGGTTGTTGATAGTTGAGTGCGGATTTGTATAGAGTTACCTCTATGTTGTGCTGAAAACATAGTGTGAAGAGCAGTCCATAATTGACTTGAAGTTTTTGTGCATCGGGTAAGTTGAGCCAGCACTTCTTCTGTCATAGAAGACAGAAGACCACCAAGAATTGCTTGATCTTGCACCATCCACGAGTTATACTCGAGATTATCTGTTTCCCGTGCTTCAGTGCCAGCCCCTGTGGTTATTTTGGCAGGGGGGAGATTTAATTGAGCCATCGAGATAATCGAATAGCTGAACACCCTTAAGAATGGGCACCACTTGTGCTTTCCAAAGCAGAAAATTCGATCGATTTAGCTTACATGTGATAGTTGTGGTGATCTTAGAGGAGTTGATGTTTGAAACAGAAATAGACATGGCGAGACTGGAAAGGGGTTACCAGCAGCCGAAGATGAAAGAGGAGATGGGAATGAGAGCCCTAGGATTAGCTCTGATACCAAATTAACAAATGTATTTGTCACACAAAAGACCCGTAGGCCTATCTTATATATATATATATATATATATATATATATATATATATATATACACACACACGCAGGTTACATACAAAGATAAATCCAAGAGATAAACCTTATCTATACAACATTTAAATATTTGAATATTATGTTCCTATCTAATCTTCTTCTGTTTATAGTTTCCCTAGAAGTGGGTTTTTTAAGAGATGTTGATAGATTGTTTCTTGAAAATTCATATGATTTACTAAACGTTGGAGATATGTCATTCTAAAGGTTTATAGTCAATACAAATGGAAGAATAATGTAACTTTGCTATGATTTGTTATTGCACCATCAAAACAAATTTGATTATATGGTTCTCCTTTGGTTACATTCATGTGGTTTGATTTCAATTCATTTGATTATATAATAGATTTATTAAATAATTCAAGTTGAATTAAAATAGTTGTGTGATCTGATGATGAAGTTGTTATTAATGGTTCGATGTAATAACTTGTGAATACTATTGAGAACTCCATTGGTGATGTTTTTGTTAAATCGGTGAAATTGGCAATATTGTTTTTGTTAGAAGGTTAAAATGATCATTTTCTCATTCAACAGATTTGTTCAACAACCTTACTAAACAACACTAAATCATTCGGGCCTTTAAAACATTTAACATTGAATCATTTAGTACTTGATCATTCAGTTTCGACCAACCAACGCCTAAAACATAATCTAACAACGTCATAGGATAAAGGAAAATTTGTTTTTCCTTATGTAAACTTGTGGTCCCTAGAGTTATAGTTTTGAGCCACTTTTACCTTCATTGATTCATATAATAAATAAAGATAACAAAATTTGACTTCCAATGCAAGAAAAAGAAGCAACATTCATCATAAAAATGGAGTGGCGACAAATAAAGGTCGGGAAGGTAGGGTAATGAATCTTTTATATGACCGACAATAGAAGGGTAACGAAATCATTTGTTGAGTTACACATTAATAAAACCTCTAAATCCCTTAACATACAAAATAAAACAAACCATTTGAAACTAAAAGCTAAAAACATCTTAATTGTATTACTTGTGAATGTTAGTCTACTCTAATAATGTATAGCCCATAGTATTTCTCGGCCCATGGCTTGTATTGCTTTGTATATATTGTGTTCATCATCCATTTATGGACGGATATATTTAACGTCTTAACATGATATCAAAGTCTAGTTCTACATTTGTGTTCTACTGAAATTGTTTCTCTCCCCATGGCCTATATTGCTTTGTATATATTGCATTTATTACCCTTTTGTGGAAATTCAATGGAATATATCATGTGACACCTCATCGAATAAAAAATAAGTAACCAACAAGAGATGTTTAAGAAAAAGAAATGCCCCATTACTCTTAAAATAAACTTATCATTTCTCTAGAAAAGGGTATCAAAAGCCACGAACTTTTACCATACACTTCTAAACAAACCATCAAACATAATGAATATCAAAGAGAACAAACATCCAAACTTTTTATTAGTAGTATTTATATGAAAGGAGAACAAAATAGTATCATGGTCATTAAGCCACTATATTTAAGGTAGAAGTTAATCTTTTACTTTTATCAAATTGATCAACTTGAAGGAACCATTTGCTTTTTTCAACAATTGAGAATCGGTGCCGCTTTTCACGCAATCAGTCCCAAATCTATTTTGCTTTTTGATGTATGGCCATGATGGATTGATGGGTATAAAATGACCCAACATCTTAGCTGTAAAGAAACCCACTACTTTGACTTCAACACGCCTACCATCATCAATTCTATAATATGATTCAACAAAATACCATATTTACTATTTTCATCTTAAACCATACGTCTATTCTATCATATTATAATTTCATTTTTTTTTTATCAAAATCACTTCATAAAGACAACATTAACTAACATACAATTCCTTTTTGTAATTTTTCATATTACTCTTTTTATCCCAAAAGCAAAAAAATGTTCTATGACATTTTGAACCAAAGTTGTCACTAATTTTATAATCAATTACTAATCATTGTAACCTTCGTTTTCTTAAAAACTATTTCACATTTCACAATCAATTGTTAGACAACATTATAGAAAACTTTTAGCGGGATGTCTTTTTTAAAAATATTGATAATATTGTCTTTACCACAAAAAATACTTATAGCAATGAACAAGCTTTTTTCAATTTCCTTTTGTTTATTTTGAGAAAAATATATTAAACGTTTGCTTCTTTGTTTTTGAGAGAGATTGGCTATAATTTTTTATCTATTTGAATTTTACTAAGCTCCAAATTTTCAATAATATTTTTTTATATTTTTAATTATATTTAAATTGCAATTTAATACTATATTCACCCAATTAATTGATTTTAATCTTTGATAAAGAATTAAATTCTTTTTACAATCATTTAACCTCCTTATTATCCTCTTATTTTTTACAATACATATATTTTATCAAAGAAAATAAAAAAAAATCTAAGAATAAAAATCAACTCTTAAAAAATATTTTCAGAAACGGCTTTCTGCCCTTTGAAACAATATAAAAGGCATCCAATATCAAGTATACACGATACGCATAATAATACCTAAATCTCATCATATTAAAAGTTAAAATCCAACCACCATATTTTGGCTGGCGTGCCAAATTCGGTCACCTTTTTAAAAAAAAAAAACCACTCCAAAACATTTATATGAGGATATTTAATTTCTCTACCAAAAAATAATAATAATAATAAACAAGAAAACAAAACGAGAAATATAACCTTTATAAAAAAGATCACATATTCATATTTACAATCTCAAAATGCTACAAATAAAAAGATCGACCTCGATATGCGACCTTACAATTTTATACAAATTTCTTCTCTTCATAAAGTCGCAATATCATCTCTCTCTCTCTCCTCTTAATTCTTACATAATAAAAAACACCAAAAAGAATTCTTCTTCAACTTTTGGTAATTACCCCTCTCTTGATCTTCTTCTATACTTACAAATCATCTCCAAAAGGGTAAAACCGTAAATTTAACCAAAACAAAAACACCATCATCACAAACTCCCTCACTCTCCATTCTCCAATTTCCCCCATTATTTTTAACCATTAACTTCTAATTAATTACATACAGATTACAGACCTTCCTATTTACACTAAAAGTAACCAAATCTGCTTCATATATCTCTCTCATATCTCTTCAAAATTGCTAGAATTTAAACTGGTTGCTGAAATTATCTGATTTTTTATGTACTTGTATGGATTTGGATTCGGATTCGGATCTTTAAGGATTTGATTTTTCAGGCGAGGGCAGGGATGCTGCAATTGCGGCGGTTGTCCCTGTCGAGGCAATCAAACCCCTCAATCCTGACCGCCGGTTTGTTACCAAAATTGGCGCGAAGGCACCCACCTTTTCTTGCGGAAGAAGATGAAGGAGAAGATGATGACATACCGGAAGATGAAGGATTGGGGATCATTGAACGGGGTGACACCGGAGAGACCTTGTCGTCTCCGAACAGGGCGTCTTGAATAAGGGGGTTAGAAACTCTACTCGGCGGTGACCCACTGAAAAAAGGGGGCGACGAGGCTATCTGTGTACATGTTTGCTCCGATGATCCGCCGTAACCACCACCTTTTGCGAAGATGATGTCCAACAGTTCAGGTCCGGCTTTCGTTTCGTAGCCTTCCGATTGATAACTGAAGATAAAATAGAAAATCGGGGTGAGTTACTGAGTTTAAAGATCCGAGATTTATTGAAAATTGTAGAGTTTTGGAAGGAGGGCTTACCACATCTGCCATCTCAGAGGCCTGACGGAGTCGTTGGTGGTGGTGAAGAGACCGAGGCGTCTTGGCTTTGGACAAACCATCGGCTCGCCGTTGCCGAAGGTTACGGAAAGTGAAACGGAACTTCTCATTTCTTCGCGGGAAGATGCAAAGGTGGTGTTCTGATGGATTCCACAGTGATTCATTTTTCTTTCTTCTGATGGAATAAATCCTGTGTTTTAAAGATAGATCGTTAGAATCAAAGCACGTATACGCGAAATCAGAGCGAAAAACTTTAGATCTGAGAGAAGGAAATGTTTTTGTACAAATTGAGAACTAAACTTCTTAATTTAACCAGATCTGATATCGAAATCACAACGTTTGTCGATCAGATTATGTAAATTTAAATCTGGAAGACGTTAAACGTCATCTAGAAATTAGATATCGTTCAGTTACGAAGCAAAATAGACAAGTTTAAAAAACAGATGCAGATCTGACGTAAAAAATCAATTATTTGTTCTCGATAATTCGTAAAGAACAAATAATCAATTTTAGAGTTAAAAACGAAATTACCGAAACAAATTAAGAACAAACAAAACTTCGAAAAAGGATGAACAATCTTAACGAAGATGTCAAAATTTGACTTTTTCGCTAATTAAATTCATCATACGTTAATAAAAAAACAAATTTTCTGATATAATCAATCGTGAAAACCAAGTTGTCCACTCCAAAACAATTCCAAAAAAATTGCACTTAGATCAGTAGTAGCCTTCAGTTCCGAAAAAACCAGTCGAAAAAAACTTGAAATCCACAACAGCCCCATAGATCAACCTAACAAAACCCCAAATCCGAAACACTTTTGAACAGAAAGCGAAGAAACTGAAACAGAAAGCGAAGAAACTGAAAGAAATCTAAGTAAATCCCTCTCACCTGTTAGAACTGGAACGTTGAAACAGAGGCTCCTGTGGCCTGGGTAATTAGAAAAAAGCAAAAAAGGACGGAAGAAAAGCAGAGGAAGACGAAGAAGAAAGGAGAGAAGGGTTGAGGTGGGTGTGATATATAGGGGAGAAAGGTTGAAACTGAAAAGCAAGAAATTGATTTAAAAATTGAATGAAGAATTAGGGTTTGAGGGGAGAGAGAGAGAGAGATGGTGGTGGGAGACAAGAACTGGGAGGCCCGCCTGCAAAAGAAAGCATTTAAGAAATGGGGATCACGTTGGCGGTGCCTGTGGCCAGCAATCTCATCGGTATTCTCACCCGCTCTCTGTAAAATACGGAATCGTAGTATTTTATTGTATTTTTACTCGTTTTTCAGTTGTGGTCCTCTTAGAATTTAATACATAGAATAATAGAAAATAATACAAATATTTAAGAAATATGTTTATTTATTTTGTAACTTATGTAGTCCTCCTCCATCTTTGGCCCATCAACATCTCTTTGAATGTGGGTAGAAGTGTTTTAAATTCATTTTTAGGGATATTCATAAAATATGATCATAGAAATGGTAACTTATTTTTTATGATCAACTTTTTTTAGGTATTTGTAAAAATAATTATGTGATCTTGAATTAGGCTATTTTTTAAACTATATATATCTTGGACAATGTTTTTAGGGATATTCATTAAAAGTTTCGAATTTTGCACAATGTTTTTCACATAAAAACCATAAAGGATAAATAATTTTGACCACTTATTTTATATTTTGATGTTGATGTACTTTCGAAAAAAAATCAAACATTTATGCACAAATAATTCATCCTTTTAGTAGATGATTGTGGTATTCATGTTAACTTTTAGTTTTTTAGAGCGATAAACCTTATGTAAAAATAATTTTGGTTATCTATATTTTCTAAATAAAAACCAAGATTGCAAGTATTTTAAATGGTTATTAAGAATTACCTAAAAGTTAGTACTAAGGAGAATGTTTTTCAAATCATATTAGTTGATTAATATGATTAAGCATCATCCTAATGTGCAAAAAAACTATTGAAGCAACCAATAGTAATATGGTGAATCCGACAAACTTCAGTTTTTTGTGTTTGTCGTTTTGTTACAAATAATGTACAAAAAAGAATGAATCAATTGTATTGTTATGGTATGTGAACATATAGGGTAACATATTAAAAGGGTGTTACAATAAAACACATAAATATGTGTATAACGTATAATTTTATTATTTTACCATTTAAAAAAATATATTTTTTATTATTTAGTGGTTAAAAGGTTGAATAAATAAATAAATGATTTGTTTACAAATCAATTGTGACTTGGTTTATGTGTTATGTCTTTTATGCTCTACTCATGTTTAAGACTAAGTTTGTAGTCTAAGTGTTAGTTGGTTGTGATGTTGTAAAGGAATTTGGAGCAAAATGCTTAAATTATTTGATCTTCTTTTTTCTTTGTTTGTAAATGTTACATAGATATTGGAATGGGTGAATGTCATTCCGTAACGCCCACGTTTCCCGCTAGATTAGTCATAGTATGTAATCACTTTAGTCAACTATTGTAATCTTTACATAAATGAATAAGAAATGATTATTCATATATTGATATGCTAGAGTGTTTTATAGGATATTATGTGTAAATTATATAAGTATTTAATAATAAAATAAATAAGATTAAAATATGCGTCGAAGATAAAAGATTATTTAGGACAAATAATTTTAACCTAGTTGTACTATACGTTATAAGGATTCTGTAGATATAAGGACCGTTCAAATCCAACTTTTTATGCAAAAGTTATGCTTCCTTGAAGTTTCGCGATTAAATAGGTACGACTCTGCGTATCGTAAAAAGTAAATTTTTGATAAATTACTTTTTAGGCTAAGTGATCTAAACAAAATTTGTAGTAGTCGTTAAACCGAGAGCGTGCATATAGGAAACGTCCAAATCTGACTTCGTGAGAGGAAGTTATGATTTTTCTAAGATTAAACAAGTAGTATACATCTCAGAAATCGAATTTTAGATCGGTCGATTTTTAGTCAAAACAATCTAAACGAGAGTTGAAGGTCTCGTTAATAGTAGTCCAACGATATAAAGTATGTCGAAAATAGACACCGGATGAGAGAGTTATGCATTTTATACGGCCTTTAACATTCTAAGTCTGTGTGAAAAAATATAAAGTCAAAATTAGCCGACAAAGTGAAAGTTGTAGATCTCGTCGAGAGCTTTCCGGAGATATAAAGAACATCACAAACGGAGATCGTATGAAGAAGATACGTTATTTTGAAAATCTAAAAAAGGTACGCACGCGTCAGGAGCGCGGCGCGCCCGACAAGACCATGCAACCCCACCCAACTTTTCGCCACGTTTCAGGCCAACACTTCGCCATGTCACTATGCTACAACCAAGAGCGCGGCGTGCCCTATGGCATGCGCGGTGCACATTTCTTTTCTGGTCTATAAATAGTCGGCTTCGTATAACATTTCATCCTCACACCCCTACAACACTTCTCCCTCGAGTTCTACCCCGTTTTAGCCCTTTTTCCTTCATTTTTGGCCTGCGGTGAAGCCATGTGACACCCCTAAGTACTCAACTGAGTAATAGACTTCGGTTAGTTAAGCCCGAGTCAGTATTTTGCTCGCTTAGATCTCGGTTCTCATCATTAGTACTCTGTATGTGAGCTACACTTACTCTGCTTCCGTATAAATTACGATTATAGTTATAAGTCGTGCTTAGGAACTTATAATTAAGATTTATCGATGATCCAAATTCATTATACTGATTAATCTACTTGCGGGAGAGGTGTCTATAATGGTCACGTCGGCTTGATTGTTGGATTTCAGAAAAGTTATATGTTGAAATGGTCTTGCCTGGTTGATCCTTACTTGATAGATCTTGAAGTAGACTTTGGGATTGTCAAGGAATATAATCGCTTAGGATAATAGTTCCATGAAATATGAAATTAGACAAAGACTTAGTGTTATATACATCTAGGTCTTTTTGGAAAATGTGTAAGGCGAAGCTCTGCCCAATTCACCAATCACCCGACACTTTGTCAAGTGAGTGCGTAGTTATTATCGGGAACATAATCTAAATTTAAAAAGTATCAATACTATTAAGTAATATTAACTGTTTACCTGTAATATATGTGTTATGTGCTATTTGTGTAAACATGATAATTGGATTAGAAACTATATAGGAAATCGATCGCCTTTAATTATAAGTCTTGCCTTAGGTTTAAGAATAAGACTCGTAACGGGTGCTTGGGACTCATAGTTAGGATAGAATGTGAGATCAGAACAGAGTTAAGTCCTCCTATTTTTTGGATGACCAGGAATGGTGGGTCCAGATCAGACAACTAGCAAGTATGTCTGGGTCATCGACCAGAGTAGATGACAACACTTGACTATTCTAGGCAGTCTAGTGAATTACGTTGCTAGCATAGACTTATAACCCATGGACGTAGATAAAATGGGATACCATATTTTTCAAATCTTTGAACATTGGTTGTCTTATATGACTTATAGTGGCCAATGACACCCCTAACTGTGTAGTCAATCTGATACTCAAACAATTCATCATGTAAGGTGATTCTTCCAGATTATGTCGAATTAGGATCTGTGAGGATTGTTTGGGTTAGGTAGTTGGTCTTAGGTAAGATTTTATATACGTATATTATCTGATAACGTTGTTCCGCGGGATTGATATTATTTATTATCATTAAATTTTTATGGGCTTGAAATTCCTATGCATTTCACTAGGTTTTTCCAAACCTGACCCACTCATTTTCATATATCACAGGTAGTGGAACCAAGGCTGTTGTAGTCTAGATAGGATGTCGAGTGGAATAAAGAGATGCGCATGTAATAAGTAGTTTCATGACCTTTTATACTTTACGTTGTAATGTATGTTTGGATATGAACGAATGACATCCTCAAGGTTTTAATAAAGTAACTTCCGTTATCTTAAAAAATGTTTTAATTTAACTGGGAATTTCCGCATCTCAATTTATAAAGCGTAAAGAAAAATGTTTTAATTGGTTCTGAAAAATGGGGGATGTCACACATTCCTTCCACATCGTCAAAAAGTAGAAAGCTTGAAGTTATTATCATCATCGCGATCTGGTTTATCTGGTATTATGACAGGAACATTGAGGTGTCCAAGACGTACATGCATAAAAGTCATATTTTTAAAAGCATTGTTATCCATTCTTTTAATCGATTCTTTATCTGGTATTATGACAGGAACATTGTTATCCATTCTTTTAAAAGCATTGTTATCCATTCTTTCAATTGACGACTTTAAAGCAATAAGCAAAGAAGATTGGTTTCATTGTTGGTCAATATAGCAATTTATGTTCCTGTTTACTTGTAAAGATTGTCCATTTTGATAATTGTTCTCCAACATCAAATGATCATTACCTTATTATTGTCGTAAGTTTTAATAGTTTATGGTCGGTTATTGTTGATCTAGGTATTGTTATAATTTTATCTAGGCTTTTGGGTTATAAAAAAAATAATTGTAATTTTAGCTTTTGTAGTGCATGATTGTAAAACGGTTTTCTAATCATCAATCCTCAACATGGTTTTTGTTGTTTTGGTCATTTTGATGTTCTTTAAGTCTAATCATGTAAAGCTATTTTACCTTAATTAATTTTGTAATAGGTTTGTAAGGTACTTGTGTTTTGTTTTGTATCTCTTATGGGTATAAGGAATGGAAATGAAATAATAATTCATGTTAGTATACAAAATACATCAGATTACGTTTTATCATAAAATATATAAGATATGTTACATTATTCAACAATGGAGTTCTAATGCTTATAGCACACCAACCTCATAGTGAACATCATAATTATCCATGTGAGTTATAATTAAGTTCATATCATTGTTGGTCAATAAAAACCGATCACGTATCGCTTGAGTGGGAACACACGTGTCTTCGATTCTTTAAATTGACTTGATGAACTACTATAAATTGTGATAAAGAGCATTATCATACGATAATTTGTTGAGTGTAGACAATCATCAGTTTCTTAGGCTAGTTATAGGGTATATGTATTGTGCAAGCGCTCTCGTAGATGTTTAAAATGAGAATTAGAGTTATATGCAATATTGTTAACAATACTGCATTTTCTAACATACACGCATAACACCTTAACTTATAGTGTCAGCTGTGACAAATGTGACATAGTAGATTCTTATGAGTCGGAAGCTTCAAAACATCCAAATTAACTAGTAGATTGAATACTTCACTATAAATTTAACATATGATGATACAATCAAAACTCAAACCATGAAATAACACTAACTTAACCTTTGATTTATATTTGGATGAAACAGTGAGCGATTGATTAAAGTTAGTGCTCAAAACACTCATAAAAGAATACAAAACCCAAATTAATGCATAAAAATTAATCAACATCAATAAATTATTGTTCTAATGTCTAAAACCTAAAGGGACAACTTAATATAAAATCAAATAACTAAAGGATTTCATATTTTAAAAAGATCCAAAACCCTAAGTTTGCTAAACGAAAAACATGAGAAGAAATTGATACCTCCAAGAGTTCTAATTGATGAATTAAGCTATATTTCTTCAAATTCACCCGATAAATACTCAATTCCTTTCATTTTCTTCCATCATGGACATAACTCTCACTTATTTATCTTTATTTCTAAATCAATTTGAACATAATGATGTTTGGAGAAGATGACTAGCTTCTTATACGTTTGACAAGTGGACAATTAATGCCCTCTGCTTTCTATTATCACACTTTGACCACTTAAATGACTATTTTCTTCCTATATTTACATATCTAACCTCTTTCCCATGATGTTTTTAACCGTTTGGTCCACAAGGGATTAATTTTACTAAATCTTGGTCGAATACTAGTTTTTCTAATTTATCAAATTAACCCCTATTTTATGTTATTGGCAAAATTAATTATTTATTTTTATTAAATTACGGATTTTTCCTTTCAAACTAATAAATAAATGTATTTTATATTATCTTATTTACCTATATTATTTTATTTATTTAAACTTGTATTAGAAAGACAAAAATTTAGGTCCACACTATTCATGTTACATTATATTTCTATATGGTATACTACAAAATATTATAATATATTATTATTTATAGTTATTTATAAATTATGCTCATAATTTGAACATTATGAGAACTACTAATAAAGATATAAATGGAAGTTTTAATTTATGTTTGCATGTTAAAAATATTTTTATAGTCACAACAAATTATTGTTTTTCTTTATAATTAGTAGAGTTTTTTAGGTTACACGTAAAACATGATTTTGAGTACAAAATAAATAGAAGAAAATTAATAGGATTGCTTTATTAATTTGTTGTCTTTATCTTTATGGTGAACTAATTAGAAACTAAAGGAAATTGAGGGTTTTAAGTGTAATTATCTTTCATTCAAATTGGTAAGAATTTATCCCTTAGTTTAAGGGATAAATATACCAATTTTAAGGGGATAACGAGTACACAATAAAACCCTAGCTTTTGAAATACTGCTTATATTTGTTGAATTATCGAGATCAACACCAATATTTTGTGCGATTGAATTATCGAGATCAATTATTTTAGGTTTCGAAACACTGCTTCTTGTAACACCCCGAATTCAGAAGGTCTAGAAAGGAAAGAAAACCTCAAATTAAGGAAGGGACTCGTCGAGTAGATGGAGTGACTCGACGAGTAGGAGCGCGGATAGGGTCGCGAGTTAAGTGACCTACTCGACAAGTCAGAGGACTGACTCGACGAGTTGGCCAAGTTTGGGGAAAACCCTAAATGCGGGCCTTGCACCCTATTTAAGGAACATTATAACCCTTCATCAGCCTCCTTGATGCTCTCTCAACTCCAGAACGAAGCCCTAGTGCCTCACATGAGTTTGTGAGCCTTTGTGAACATTCTTGAGTGTTGTGAAACTTGAAGAAGAAGGTGAAGCCTTGGGGGTTCAAGAAGAGACTAGTAGATCCAGAAACCTCTTGCATTCTCCTCCATTTTATGGTAAGAAAGTTTCCACCTTGATCATTATGCATGTAGATCTCTCTTCTTTTTCATTTTGGGGGTTTTTAGTCCAAGAACCCTAGCATGAGAGGAATGGACGTCCCAAGAGCTTGTGTTTTCAGATCTAGCACTATTAAGGGTTGTTATAGCATAAAGGTGCAAGCTTTATGCCATAGGAAGCCCCATGCAAGCATATGAAGTGTTCTTTTGGCCTTTTTAGCTCAAAAGGTGTAACATACACGTTTACTTATCGTGTTATGCAAAATTTAAAAGTGAATACTATTAAGAAATATTATGTAGCTTTGAGTGTTGAGTTCTAACGGATAGTTTTTACTAGAATTGAAGTAAAACTATGTTTAGAATCACTCGGAAAAAATATTGGAAGTCTTATGAGATTCCAATCTAATGTGAAATATTGAAATTTAATGAAAATATAAAATTTGAAATAAGTAAAAATTTTATTATTGAAAGTTGTAAAGAATCTCGTTAGAAACATTTAGGCGAAAACCTCATCGAAATCTGAGTTATAACGAAGAAGTTATGA